AAAATTTCCCCTCCCAGTCCCAAATATTCCTTTCCCAGCCCAAAATACCCACCTCCCTGCCCAAAATATCCCCTTCCCAGCCCAAAATACCCACTTCCCTGCCCCAAATATTCCTTTCCCAGCCCAAAATATCCCCTCCCAGTCCCAAATATCCCTTTCCCTGCCCAAAATATCCCCTTCCCAGCCCAAAATATTCCCTTCCCCGCCCCAAAAAAACCCCTCCCAGCCCCAACCCTTCCCCACCTCCCCCCTTCCAGGCCCCCAAATCGCTCTGAAAAACCCATTTTCTTTTATTCCCACGTTTTATTTGTGTTTTGAGATTACAGAGTCTTTATTGCTGATCTAATACAATCACTCAGACATTAATAATTAAAACATCCTTTCGAAAAAATGTCACTTTTGCCAAGTTTTCCTTCCCTCACTGCAGGTTTTTTTCCTGATCATTCCTCAAGTTCAGACCAGGATCCATTTTCCTCAGACAATTTTGCTGGTGTTTACCTAAATCTCCTTTTATTTTTCTCCTAATCCTTTAAAAACCTGTTACATTTTTTTTAAAAAAAAAACCCAAAACCAACCAATAAACCAAAAAAACCCCCAACAAACCACCCCCAAAAACAACCCATTATTACACCTTGAATTGAGAGATGATCATAGATGATGATTCCAGGTTGATGAGGAAGAAAAAGCCAAGCGAGCAGAAAAGCTTTTGGAAGGGGCAGGACGTGGAGAAGAGCTCTAAAAACAACAAATCCAGGTGGGATTTTATTATTGTTCTTTTTTTTATATATATATTTTCTTTTTCTCCTATCTACCCAGAAGGGAAATGGGTTTAAAAAATGAGGAGGGAGTCAGGGATGGGGAGAGCAGCACCAGGGATGGACAAAGCTGCTCCCGAGGGCGACGTGGATGGAAAAGGGGGATTTTTTTTTCCCCAGGAGGAGCTGTGGTTGGGATCCTTCTTTTCCAGAAGCTGCTTGGCTTAATGTGACCCCATCACCTCGAGCAAAGTGTCACCCTCTGTGCCTGCAGGGGACAGCAGGACCTCTGGGGCTTCTGCAGACCAAGGTGCTCCAGCGCGGGGAAAAGACCCGATCGTGACGTTTCCAAGAGCTCAGGGGACTCTTCCCAAAAATACCAGGATCTGGAGAAGACTCAGGAGTCAGTAGAGGTTACTTCAAGGTTGTGGTTAGTCATTAGTCTACAATGAAGTCTTCTCAAAGCCCTAAGGTCTCCTCAAAGTCTCCTCAAAGCCCTAAGGCCTCCTCAAAGTCTTTTTAATGCTCTAAGGCCTCCTCAAAGCTATAAGGTCTCCTCAAAGTCTTCTTAAAGCCTGAAGGTCTCTTCAAAGTCTTCTCAAGACCCTAAGGTCTCCTCAAAGTCTTCTTAAGGCCTGAAGGTCTCTTCAAAGTCTTCTTAAGGCCTGAAGGTCTCTTCAAAGTCTTCTCAAGACCCTAAGGTCTCCTCAAAGTCTTCTTAAAGCCTAAAGGTCTCTTCAAAGTCTTCTCAAGACCCTAAGGTCTCCTCAAAGCCTGAAGGTCTCTTCTCAAGGCCCTAAGGTCTCCTCAAAGTCTTTTCAAAGCCTTAAGGTCTCCTCAAAGCTCTAAGGTCTTCCCAAGGTCTTCCCAAGGTCTTCCCAAGCTCTTCCTTCTAGGCCTAAAGAAATTTCAACGAGAAACTTGGGAACCAGCCAGCCCAGGAGAACGTTTGCTCTGAAGATCAGCAGCTTGTGGTCAAGTTGACTTCAGACCTTGGCATCCAGAGCTGCCTGAAGGACCTCCCTGCTGAGACTGCAATTCCACAGGTTTTCCTTCCTTGTGCGTGAACCAGCTGCCACAGAAGAGTTTTCTGAAGATGGCAAAGAAGTCCATAAGGACAGAAGAAGAATCTGTAGCTGATGAGGGACTCGGGTACCAAGGACAGAGGCTTTTGTGCTCACGGGGTCGGGCAATTTTATTTTAGAAGGACCAGGTTCTCCATCTGAACCACAGAAGTGACTCTGATGAGACTTGGGAAGTCACCTTGGTCTGTGGGCTCCATGCTGTCCAGAGCATCCAGGTGGGACATTTTGAGCTAAAAACAAGTAGCTGTGACAAATTTGTTCTCCGTGGGCTCTGAAGCATCAAGACTTGAGGTGACTGAAGGGTTTTTAGGGATGTTGGACTCTGCCCACCCAGGGGATGGGTGTGGGGATCACCCTGGTGTACAGCTCGTACACTCCAAGGGGGTTTCCACATTTTATCACACAAATACTACTAGAAAGCAGAACTTGCAACGGTTTCCAATGAGGACTGACATTCAGCTGGAGAAGGATCTGGCATGGACAGGGCTCCTCCCAGCCAGGATGGCCGACGAGCTTCGCTTGGGTTGGGCAGAGCTCCCCGACACGTGAGTTTGTTGGTGAGGCTGCTGGGCTCTTCCAGCAGCCTGGGGACCCCAGGCTGCCCCACAGCCCACCAGGAACACGACTTTGGTTGAAGGTAGGAGGTTGGCACTCAAAACTAGCAGCAGGAAAATACTGTGGAGCTGTGATGAAGGGAGTGGTGGTGGCTCCTACCCCACCACCACCACCTCTGCCTCTGAGCGGGCTCTGCTCTGTCCTCCTGACTCCTCCCCCTGCCTGATGCTAACGACCCGACCCCTCATTACAGCTTCCAGCAGAGCTAAGGCATGAGAAACACAAACCCAGCCACTCTCCAGCTGGAGCTCCCAGCTCCTGGGCTCCTGCTCCACTGGAAGAATCTCTGGGATGTGAAGGAAACCAAAAGCAACGTGCGACCTCCGCGTGGGATCGCGCGGCTCCCGTTGTGCGCGTTGGATGAAGGGTGACAATCCCAAGTACAGCCATTCCTTTCCTTTCCATTCCTTTCCATTCCATTCCATCCCACCAGCTGCTTCCTCCCCTTCCCCAGCTCCCCCACACCCCAAAAAAAACCAAAAAGAGAACAACCCAAAGAGAGAAAAATGAACCCAACGGAAGCAACCGCCTCCCAGTCCCGCGGCAGCACGAACACCAGTGGCAGAGGCCGCATGAACATTGTTCTAATTTAATAAATAAATAACCTAAACACACTGTCTACGAGGTGAGCAAGCCCGGCTCTAACTTAAGAAGCTTCTGCTGCTTCATCCTGTACAGTAGTTGAGAAAGGATTTTGGGGTTCTTGTTCCTCACGTTTCTCCGGGATCCGGCGGCGGGAACTTAATATCTGCGGGAAAAGAAAGGGGAAAAGGAGGTTTTGGGGAGATGCTGGAGGGGTGAAGCTCCCCCAGCACCAACACCGTGTGTTTTGGGAGGGGCAGACACCAAGAAATGAAATGGTGTAGAAAGGGACTTGGTCCTCATCTCCTTCCCCACCAATCCCATGTCCCTGCTGCTTGGCCACGGCCTCTCGCTTCCGAGGCTGGGGAGGGGAAAATTCCAGGGTGCCCCATGGATTCAGGGACTGAGTCCCACTGGTTTGTGGCATCACTGGCTCAGGAACTGGGGAGGAAGCATCAAAGCTGCAGGAGCAAACACCTTAAACACCAAATCCTGGTTCCAACTGGCTGGATTTATCAGGATGTTCCTGTTAGACCAGGAACTGAGAGGATTCCCATCACAAATGAAGCTTCATGTAAGGAGAGGGAGGTTGAGCTGCACAGGGGTGAAGTCTAATTCCCTCTTGTGTCCAGAGAAAGAGGCACCTGGAAATCTCCTCTCACCTCCCATCCCACACATCAAGATGGGGAACTTTGGAAAACTTGACTCTTTGCCTTTGGTATCTGGAAATTCCTGCAGGACACCAAGAAAATCTCCACCCCACAGTGCAGGGAGGATGTTTGAGCCCTTGTGCCTCCCCTGATGCAGGAAATCAGCTCCGACCTTCTGCTTGTCCCACCTCCTCCATGTGTGGGACAAACCACACTCCAAGGTCGGGATTAGAGCCAGAAAATCACGGAGTAGGGAATGGTTTGGGTGGGAAGGGACCTGAAAGATCATCTAGATCCAACCCCCCTGCATGGGCAGGGACACCTCCCAGCAGCCCAGGCTGCTCCAAGCCCCATCCAACCTGCCCTTCAACACCCCCAGGGATG